TTGATTTCTCGGCGCGGAGCGCGGCTCACAACCGCGTTCTGCTCCAGTTCCTTTCTTCCCGGAGGTGCATGAAGAGGCCCCTTTTATGGCCAAAAGCTGCTCGTCTCCCTCTTCCATCCTCACTACCCTCGATGGCAGGGCAGCCAGGGGGTACGTAGACATTCCCCAGGCAGATAGAGCAATTGCAGTGCACTTGTGCCCGCAAAATGCCGCCACTTGGAGGAATTGTCCACGTCTCCCGTCCAAAGCCTGTAAGCTGTCTGCGGCTCTCACGGCCAAAGTTTACAGTGCTGTGGGCCAAGTTGCCTCTGCCCTGCATGCCATGGCGATCCTGCAAGTACACCAAGCCAAGGCACTCAATCAAATGCACGAGGGTAGCACCGACCCAAGGTTGACACAGGAGCTGCGCACGGCGACTGACTTCGCCCTCCGGGCGACGAAAGTTACAGCGCAGTCCTTCGGGAAGGTGATGTCCACTCTGATGGTCCAGGAGCGTATCTCTGGCCGAGATGAGAGACATTGACAAAGTACGTTTTCTTGATGCTCCCATCTCCCAGGCTGGCCTGTTCGGCGAAACTTTCGAGGACTTTGCCCAGCAGTTCTCGGCATTACAAAAGCAGACTGAGGCCATTCAACACATCTTGCCCAGACGTGAGCCTCCAGCTGCCACCATTCCGTCGCGGGCCGTGTCTCAGCTTGCTCGTCGCCATGGGCGCCCTCCTGCGTCCTCCACTCTGGCTCTACCCTGCGCTGAGACACCGTCAAGTCCAGTGCTTCGAGACCCACACAGGAGAGTGGCGCCCCCCCGTGTTGCACCCGGCCGCTAAGTCCTCCAAGAAGACAACGAAGCTGCCCTGACACGGGCAACCCGGAGATGTGGGAGACTGCTCTTCAGGAGGTGGTGAGGACAGCGCCACTCACTCCCCCGGAGGAGGGCCGGGCGGAGAATCTTTTGTTTCCTTTTCTTTCTGTTCCGCCACTGGCTCAACGGCCAGCGGTAACCACATTGTCAAAGAAAGAGCAGTTTCCTTTTATTTCGGGTTGCAAGGCTCGTGGGTCGGCAGTAAGCGACGCACCGCTTCCTCACTCTCACCCACGATGCCCCCTATCGCCAGTGGCCTAGAGATCGTGGTTCGGAGACGCAATGCCTCTCCACGCGTTTCTGGTCAGTCCCTCCGGGGACAAGGGGAGTTTTGCTGTGATGACTCAGAACACGATGCCTTCTGGGTCACCGAGCAAAACTCCCCTTCACTGCACCACTGCTCGTACGTTGACTGTCCCTTTGATGCCACTCATACGGAGTTTGGGAGCGTGGCTTGCGCTGCCCAACCCATCCTGCTGGCTCATTCAGACGGATCGATTCGGTTACGCGATTCAGTTCGCCAGGCGACCTCCCAAGTTCAATGGCATTCTCGAGACTTCTCGAGGCAGTCCGAGACGCCTCTGTCTTGCGCGAGGAGATTGCTGTCCTGTTGGCGAAGGATGCAATCGAGCTGGTCCCTCCAGCCGAGATGAGGAAGGTGGTTTACTTCAGATCTGCGAGTCTTGAATAGGGCCCTTCACAAGCTCCCGTTCAAGATGTTGATGCAGAAACGTATTATCAAATGCATTCAAGCCCAGGATTGGTTTGCAGCGATCAACCTGAAGGATGCGTACATTCATGCCTCGATCCTTCCTCGTCACTGACCGTTCCTAAGGTTTGCGTTCGAGGGTCGGGCATGGCAATACATGGTCCTCCCCTTCGGGCTCTCCCTGTCCCCCTGTGTCTTCACGAAAGTCACAGAGGGTGCCCTTGCCCCACTTTGGGAAGTGGACATCAGGATCCTCAACTATCTCGACGACTGCCTCATCATCTATTTTTTTTCCAGAGATACACACACACACACACACAGATATATATATATATGAAGAAGAGTGCTAAAGAGCTCTTGTGCTTTCGGCTGAGTCATGTAACTTTAATTTCACCTCAGCTCAGAATGCTTTTATGACGCGAGATTAATGTAAACACAGCCCACTGTGAACACCCTTGTAATTTGCTTCAACCTTTTCGAATTTTATGAATGATTATTTTAGGTTCAAGTGTGTGTAAGGATTTGGAAACAAGCAGAGTATGGCTGTTTCTAAAGCATGCAGTGCCATCTGCTGTTCAAAACTAAGCTCAGAATCGACTCAAGAAAGAATCACGATGCATTCGGCTGTCAACGTTAACACGTTAACGCATGCAATTAATTTTAAAATCCTTAACGCGTTAAAATAATTTAACGCAATTAAAGCTAAATTACTGAAGCACAGTTTATATTCTAATTGTGCTTCTCTGCTTGTGATCAGATCATTTTAAGCTGCTAAACTCCGGGAAAGTTTTCATTCCAATGATCCAGTAAGCGAATGCATTCAAACAATCCGTCCAAAACAGCGCTAATATAAAGGAAAACGGATTGTCAACACATCCCACCCCTGTATGGCCAGATGAGACGCAAACTACTTTTTCTCGACTGGATAACCAGTCTCGCTAGTAAAGTTTTGATGGATGAAGACTGCAATCAAGGTAAAGACGACTGCAGTGGTGTACAGGAGTCGTACAGTAAGCACGCTTATTAGTCCGTTATAATAATGTGTGTATGAGTGCTTGACGCACTGATTGCACATTGCATTTATGCACAAGCACAGATATTTCCATACATTCACATTGTTTCCAAACACATTCACGATAATGTTTAGATTTGTCATGTGTATGTTGCTGTGTTTAGTTATACTGAATGGATCCGTGTACTGTAGTAGATATATGCAGTCAGCAGGCGGTTGGTTTAGGGTTTTTTTGGCATCCCCATGTGGTCATGTTTGGTATCGCAACTTGACTTCTCTCAAATTGAAAAAAGCTGTTTGCTGTTGCACTGTACACATACTATAAAATTCGGATTTTTTTTTTTTTTTCATATGTGCTTTTATGGGCTCCTTATATCATTTGGTTCTTTGCTGTCTTTTTGGAGTTTCTAAGTTTCCTCTTTTGGAAAGTCATCTAAATTTATCTTGGAAAAAAAGCTTGCAGAAAATATCGATTTTTGAGAATCACCCTTCAATCCTTTGGTTTACTTTGCTGGATATTGCAAATGATAACAAAATAAACATTTGAAACAAAATAAATGGTCTATGCTTAATTTCATGAAGTGTGCGATTAATAACATATTTTGTGGGAATATACACACACACACACACACTCCAATGAGCCACCTCAACAGTCAACAGTAGGTCCTCCTCTTCCTGTACATTATGGGGTGGTGGTGATATAGTGCAAATTCGCTTTTCCAAGTTGAACAACAAATGTTTGATTGGGTAAATCTGGGGCGAAGGCATTAACAGAAATTCACCATCATCTTCCTCAAACCACACCTTGATTATTCTGTATTGCTCTGTAAACTGCACCTGCAGCACTGTATGGATACATATATAGAGATGTAAAGAGTTGGGGCAACCTTATTGTAAAAAATATGGCACTATATGTTAAACATTTTTTGATGCTTCAGAGCATCTTTCATAACAAACTAAATATGTTTTAACAAAGAAAATAAAACTCCTTTACCCTTAATATTCAAAACAATGTGATAAATTTACACAATATGTATTACAGGGTTATTATAGTTACTTGAACGTCTGTTATTTGAAATAAATAAATTTGAACTTAAATAAAATAAAATATATTAAAAACGTATTTTATTTCAGCTAGAAAATGTTTCTCAATTTCATTTAGTTTAACTTGATGTAATAAAATAACTAAATCTAAAAGAACAAAATACAACTTTGAACAGAAATATAAAAATAAAAGCTAATTCAAACCATTTATAAAAAATGTGTGTAGATTCTGTTCAAGAGGGTTTGATTTTGTATTATTATTATTTTTTGTGTAGATTGATTCCCTCAAATAAGGTTTCATACATTTTCCTCATGTTGGTTTTGTGTTGGCCTTTGACTCTCTGCAGGACATAATCCACTGTTTGGCACAAATATTGGTGCTGTACTGACTTATTCACACCATTTTTCGCAGCTCTGCAGAAAAAGTGAGATGAAAAGGCCAAGAACTCCTACTGTGAAAAGCAGTTCATATATATTTAAAAAAAAAAAAACATTCACAATGTTTCCATCACATTTGTTATTTAAAATAACCCTACATTTAGACAAGAGTGCAGTTTTACATGCTTCTTGTAGATGTGTGTAGCTGGTATTATGATTATTGCACACACTGAACTACAGTTTCCAGACATTGCAAAATGCTTTCCTCAATGTTCTGTTCTAGGGCCGATATTGTTTTCTACATACTGTAGATCAATGATGCACAGCAGACATCTGAGGGACATTTCAAGGATCACTATAAATATGATGCTCAGATATAATTTACAGAGTAATAAATAATTTGGAGTCGAGTGGATTACTTGTTGATTATTGTTTTATTTTTATCAGCTGTTTGGACTTTCATTCTGATGGCACCCATTCAACTGCAGAGGATCCATTGGTGAGCGAGTGATGTGAAGATACATTTCTCTAAATCTGTTCCCATGAAGAAACAATCTCATCTACAGTACATCTTGGATGGCCTGAGGGTGAGTAAATTTTCAGCAAAATTTCATTTTAGATTAACTATTCCTTGAACTATGTGACATTCATTAGGCAATGAATAGCACTAATACTTTCGGAATAAGCAGGTCAGATTGCATAAAGAGTGGAAATTAAAAGGAAATCAAATTTGTGTGCAGTGTGAACAAAGCCCAAAGAACAAAGCTCCTAATGACAATTTCTGAAAATATCTGACTCAAGCTGATATTCCTCCTTGTCTTCATTCATTTAATGAGCCTTCACTGCATGATGTATATCACTCCTGAGGTGAAGACCACAGTCTCACCAACGATCTACGCCGGATCTAAAGAAGAGTTTTTTATAAGGAAAGGGTGGTTTGTATATTGTATTTGTTTAGATATTGTGATATATGTATTATTACCTTTGATGGCCTGTCAGGGAGAGTCAATATCTGTGGTTTTGTAGCTTTCGTTGCTTTCTGGTATCTTATTTTTCCATAAAAAAAATACTTTATTGTGAAAGCCTATTTCTGGTGCATGCAGAGAGTTAAGAATAGCTGGATTTGAGTTTAGAAAAGGCCTCAGAGCGAATAAAATGAATATCTGAACACCCTTTGGAAATTTAAAAAAAAAAACTTGTAATGAATACAGAAGCATTGACAATTCATTATAACCTTTTTGTGCATGTTTGTGCAATGTGCATTAACCCACCTGTGTTGTGTTTAAGAGACAGAAAACCACACTGAGAATCAATTGGAGAGTTTGTTCTTGGGTGATCAGCAAAATGTAGCCCGTGACCCAAGACAAGCCGAGCATCACTGCCAGAGAAAAGCTACTCAACATCTTCTTCTTCAGAGAAGTTTTACGTGATCTAAACAGCAACAGTTTGTTATTGGTGAAATATATTCTCATAAATCTGGTGGATAACTGATATTATCTGGTCCCAAAGTAAACACACCTGTTTAAGTTAGGGTTGGTCCTGCAGATGTTGTAAGAGAAGTGCAGCAGTACTGCTGTGCTTGAGATCAGCATGAGCAGTAAAGGGAGCACGAATCCCCAAAGCATGGGTTTCTTTATACTGAACTTTTGTTTGTGGTCCAGTGAAGCCAGCCAGCAGCTGCAGAAAAGGAAAAAGTGACAACTGAACCAAAATTTCTGAAATCAATGTAATAATATTAAATAAAGTGAATTAAAAATAAATGAGTAAAGTTGATCTTTAAAGTTAAAAATATTTGTTACTTACAACTCTTCTTGTCGATAACCTAAAGGCTCCTCCACACGGTAGGTGGAACCCAATGAGATACCAACAATAAGAGCAGGCAAACCTAAACAGGAAAAGCTTTATAGACACTGATGGCATTGTATATTGGAGACATTATTTCATGGTTAAGGTTTAGTCATATGTTTGTTGTGCAATTAATACCCAGGATGTATGGCAGTGGGAGAACGAACTAAGCAATATTTTGCGATATTCCTTAAAATGTTGGTTAATAACAATACAGAAGTGATTACAGAAGAAGACAATATAGAAGACTATTTTAATTTAGTTTGAGCACGATGAGTGATTTCTAAATTGGTTGGTTTATCACGCTGGTAGGAAAATGCCACAGGATTCAATTCCACACAATCAGACGGTAATAACGCAGAGTTTCATGAACATTCAGGAAACAAATATTGCTGCATTTCACCATAGACATCACTGAAAGTAACAATAACTTGCAGTTCTGTAAATGGGCCAGATGTTGAATTAGTAACTGCTTTTACAGAATTCAATTCATTCAATGAAGACTCATAGCTCTTCGGCTGGTGAGGTTTTTTCGAACGATCCTTTGAAAGAACCGGTTCATAAGAGTCATTTGCTCATGAATCGGGCCACACACAACACTGGCATAACAGCAATACAAATGTGAATATTTATACCATTTAATACCATATATTATTTTAACCCATACTGTAGCCTATTTGAACACCTTTACTAAGAAGTTAGTCATAAATTAAATAACACATTAGTGTTTTGTGCACGTTCAATATCTCCTACCCCATCCAACAGCCATGGCGACCTGTGGAAACCATGAAGGTGTTCCAGACACTGAGTTTTTGAAGAGCAGGAACACATTAATGCCGTACAGAGTGTTCCAAGTGAACGTAGCCAACAGGAAGAACTGAAGCAGAGCTGTAAACGCCGTACAGGGTCCCTGATCTGAGTACTTGTGGTGATCAGACTCAGGAACTATATTCTCGCCAGACACCTTTGTTACATTCACATGTTGGATGGGGTTGTTTATGCCAAATATGAAGAGAAGGTAGAAAACCGTCATGCTCAAGCAGATGTTCACCATTAGCAGAGTAGGGCTGCCTCCTCTTGACTTCCTGTGGCATGTGTATGAATATGAAAAAAACTGCTTCACCACAGCAAAAAGCTGTACGCTTAACAGTGTAAACTTTTACCTGGTTATGATTTGGTACAATGCTGTGACAGACAGTCCCACCACAGACAGAGCACAGCCGGTGATGCTGATCCAATGCAAGGCTTCAGAATATTGATAGTTGATATCAAATGCCTGCAGAAAATTACACCTGCATTAGATTCTAGTGGAAATGACTTCACAGCATCATAGACTCTACTGATCCATTTAACTCAAATATAAATGGTATTTACATCTTGATGTAAATACATCTTACCATCAGAATAGCAAAGTTAGCATTTTTTTGTTTTTTACAGCTGCAAACTGCATGTCCCGAGGAACTCTCAGTTTTGGTGCAACCATCAGTGATCCAGTCCTGTTTATCGTAACTCCAAAACACGCAGGCAAAGTCATTGAGGGACATTGTCGAATCGGCCTGAAAGTTCAACAATGTATTAATTTTTCAACACCATACTTGTACGGACCTGTGTCGATGTATTTGATAATGAGGAACATCACAGTATAGTTCTATACACTCTTAAACGGGTCATGGAATGCAGTTTCAGATTTTTATAATGTTTCTCAAGGTTAGTTTATAAAGTTAGTTTTGCTTCACCAAAAAAGGTTCAATATTTGTAAAAATGATCATTTTCCATCCTCACGGAAAGAAAAAAAAAACATGAAAGAAATGTGAAGATGTGAAAGGGGCATTACCTCTTGCAGAAACAGAAGCAAACGCCCACTGCTGTGATTGGCTAACTCAGGGGTCCTCACGTAGCCCGTGATGTCACAGGCGGATGCCCGGAAGTATAAGAGGGCATCTACCGAACAAATCATCAACTTTTGTTGTCATCAGGAATCATTTGTTTGACAGTGCATGTGAAGGCGTTATGGAGAAGCCAAGGCAAGTGAGCATTTTAGAAAGTGTGCTCCTCCATGTCCGAGGTTTCTGACACCCGAGGACACACTCGATCTATGCATTATGTGTCTTGGTGAGGAGCACGCGTGTTCGGTGCTTGAGGGCTCTGAATACGCTCGTTGTGAGAATTTCCAATGAGAAAGCTCAGTTTGCGTTTTTCCCTCTTCTCGAGGGATGAGGCAGAAGTGTCTGCATCTCATGGTTTGGGTGCCACTGCTACCGAGGCACGGTGAAGGCTCAGATCGCGGGGTTCACAGGTTGAGCTTGCAGAAAAGTTTGAGAAGGGTATGAACCTTTTGAAAGTTTCCACTGCAGGCTCGAGCACTCGGCGGGATCCAGACGCTCTTTCTCTTGGGTTATTGGATCCCGCGGATAGCGCTATATTGCGTTCATCTAGTGAGAATCAAGGCGTGGATGTGGTTGATGATGGCGATGATAGTGTGAGCACTGAATCCTGCAAACCTAATTCCAGCCCCGCATATGGGGAAATGCTGGGAGTAATGGTGCCACCACTAAGAGGCTTGATTTAGTCTGTTCACGTGAAAGGCAGATGCGGAGCATTCTCTCCCAGAGTTAGTCGTCTTCTTTAAAGACTCCTGCCCTGCCATCCAGATCACTTCAGGGCGCATCTGGATGGCAGGGTGTATGTGATGGCAGGTCAAGCTGGTGGAGCCTTGCACACAATGACTGTATTACAATCTTACCAAGCTGACTTACTCAGAGACCTAGATGAGGGCAAGCGTTTGTCCCCTGAGGCAGTTGAGGAACTGCGCTGCACCACAGACTTTGCTCTTCGCACCACTAAGCAATATTGGCTTCAGAGGGGCATGTGTGGTTAAATGCCGCGGATATATCGGGAGAGAGGTGAAAGCCTTTCTTCCTGATACTCCGCTGTTGCCTTCCGGGCATTTCGGCTCCTTCGCTGAGGCACTGGTGGAGAAGTTCAGGGAGGCGAAGGCATGGTCCGCTGCCTTACAGGAAGTTAATTCCCTGCCAACCCAAGTCTTCCTCTAAAACCTCTGAGGGGACTGGTCCGTCTTGATCTGAGGATCATAGACAGGATCAGAAGACTAGCATGGTCACTCGTGCCCCTCCTTTCTCTAGGAGTTGGGTGCAGAGGCAGGTGAGCGCAAAGAGACGCTGCTCACATCGGGCTTGAGGCACTTTGGCTCATTCTAACATAGCCTTCTGAGGATAGCTGTGTTCTTAGCTTGGTTAATGGGATGTCCCACCTGATTAGATTGGTTCCCCATTTTTCCGAGTTATGTTAGTGGCCCCAGGCATCAGTGGCTTGCCCCCTTTGGTGTATGTCTGTAGCATCCCTTGGTGCTTTCTCACCAGGTGGACAGGCATGTGCCACGGCATGGCTGAGTGGGCATTCTGTTCCCCAAAGTGTCCGCTAGAAGATGCAGCACGAGTTCCATAGAAGGGGAACGTCTCGGGTTACACATGTAACCATGGTTCCCCGAGAGGGAACGAGACTCTGCGTCCTCTTGCCATGCCTAGGGCTTGCCTATTTCCACGTCTCCTTCAGAAAACCAAGTTGGTGACGTGTTCGGCAAGTGCCCACTTATACTTACGGGTGCCCGATTGTGACATCACAGGCTACGTGAGCCAATGGGATTGGAGCTGTTTCACACGTGCTTCAAACACCGGTCCTGCTGGCGGCAGTACCCAAAGTGTCTGCTAGAGGACGCAGCGTCTTGACGACATGTGTAACCCGAGACGCTCTCTCTCTCTCTCTCTCTCTCTCTGGGTGTGTGTGTGTTTGTCAATGAAAGCAGCGCATTAACAGTGGTGATTAAACTGAATGGTTTAACTCTGTCACACTGTAAATCTATTATTCAAAGTCTAATTTAAACATTAAAATAAAGAAACTTTTAGGATTTTTGAAGCAATGCATTTCTAAGGCTCAGATCTTTAGGAAGGCTATGCAAAGTTTTTGGAGTTTCTTTCCGTCCACTGACAGAACAACATCTGATTTTGAGAGTCTTACTCAACATCTTTATCTAACAGCACATCGCTGTTATGATTAATGAACAAACATGAGCTGTTATGAACATGGATACTTGATTACATACGGCGATGATGCATGTTAAGAGGTGTCAAATCTGGGCATTTCAGAAGGGTAGAAAATAAATATTAATATTTTAAACTGGGGAGCTAGTTTTGAGTTGTGAAACTTGCAGTATTGTAACCTTGTATATATGTAAATATCAATAATATTTTGATTCTCCATTTCATGACCCCTTTAAAATTAAAAGTTATTTATTGGCATTGATGGTTCCATGAAGAATTTTTAACATCAGTGGAACCTTTCCATTCCACAAAAGTTTATTTATAGTAGAAAAAGGTGGTTCTTTAAGAACTGTTCACTGAAAGGTTCTTTGGGAAACCACAAATGGTTCCTGAAATGTAACCTTTATTTTAAAAGGTGTAGAAAATGGCTTCCTACCAGCAGTACGGCCTGAAAATTTAAGTAAAAATGGGATGGTATTGCATACTTTCTAATTTAATTACAACCGTGCTGAAAAGCAAGAAGTGTGATGTTGGACTAGCTGCTCACCGATGGTGTGACTGCAAACTGAACCTGATCAATTCCAGAATTTTCTTGAAGATTAGCAGATATCACTCTTCTCTTGGTATCCAGAGAAGGTTGACAGCTTTTTGACTGGAAGAACTGATCATTATCATAGAGGACAAACCCAATATCTTTATCAAAATCTACAGAAAAAGTGAGATAGTTACTATTAAAATATCACTCTCAACAGATCATTTCATGTGGAAGAATTACAAAATACAAGAAAAGGAAAAGTAAAGTTGTAGAGTAGAGTCTGAATCCAGCTTTACCTTCACTGAATGTGACATTCATTTGAAGGTCAACTATATGTTTGGAAAACTCAGCCTCTGTTATATGCAGTATAATTCTGTCAGGTAAAAAGGTATCATTCAGCCCTGGAAATATTCAGATAAGTATGTCTTTTAGAAGCACGCTAATATGCTAAAAGGATATTTATAATAGCTTTACTCCTACAGTATATACAGTACACTATCGTTCAAAAGTTTGGAACAATTACAAAGTAATCTCTTATGCTCACCAAGTCTGCATTATTTGATCATAAATACAGTAAAATAGTAATATTGTGAAACGTTATAACAATTTAAAATTCTAATATATTTTAAATTGTAATTTATTCCTGTGATGAAAAGGCTGAATTTTCAGCATTGTTACGCCAGTCTTCAGTGTCACATGATCCTTCAGAAATCATTCTAATATGCTGATTTGCTCCTCAAGAAACATTTCTCATTATTATCAATGCTGAAATGGTTTTGCTGCTTATTATTTTTGTACAAACTTCAAACACTTGCCTTTAAAAGAGGTTAATTGCACTTGTCGGATTGGCGTTTGTCCCTTCAGCGACTGCACTGCCATTTTCGGTTGCACCAACAATGGATTTGGATTCTCACGCAGAGAGAGTTTCTGTAGAGTCTGTGTTAGTCTGAACAAACACAATCTGAAGTCAGACAAAAATATTCAGTGCTTATGAATTTTGCATATACTATTAGATGGTACTGTCAGTGGCAAATCAGCGAGTGTGAAATGTTTTGTTACTCAGAAATTGCAGTATGGTCAACAGAAGAGTACATCTCATGACTTGCGCTCAGGAGCTGACTGATTGTAGCGACTGCTGATACGGCAATATCCTGCACAATGAAGAAGAAAATGTTTCTCAAGACAACTGTGGATGGTATTCAGTATTACATGTCATTATGTATAGTGTTCTGTGCTGTACCTGGATTAGTCAAATTAGTATATCTGTCTATTTCATGTGAAGTTTAAAAAAATTGACACTGACATGCAATGTTTACACTACATATGGAAATGACAACATGCAAATTATGAAAAACAATCAGATATACAAGTTGTGCAAACAGAGTGATGAGAGAATGAAAAAGACATAAGTGCCAAGACACTTTTGAATCTCAAAAAACAGCCGCCGCCGTCTGTCTGTGAGAATTTTGAAAGAAATCAGCCACTAGGTGGCGATATTGCATTTTTCAAGTGTGTAAACGATTGTATATTGCACGACTTTTCACACATACACACAATATTCATATCATATAATAGATCTCCTTATTCTGAACAACTTTGAATCAAGAACCACTGCTGTCAATCAAATCGTTTGTTAATTATTCAAGATTAAAAAATACTTTTGCAAACTAGTCCTAGGTTTTTTGGACAGCTATAACTGGGTCCTTTGAAAACGGATGTGGCCAAGTGTGCCCAAAAGCATATTGTTCCTAAACAAAAACTCATAACTTTACAAAATCAGCTGAGCGCATGCAACGTGACATTGCAAAGAAGCATGCAAACTTTTATGGAGATCGGACCATCTAACCCACTAACCGTCAAAAAGCTGCAAACACTGTATTTCTATGGCAAATCACATTATAGGGCTGAAAAATAACTTTTTCGGGCCCAATTTGGCCTAGACCTTCACGAAATCAGCTGAGTGTGTGCGACGTGCCATTGCAAAGAAGCATGCAAACTTTTTATGGAGATCATCCCATGGCTCTATAACTGTCAAAAAGCTGCAAACACTGTATTTTTGTGGCAAATGCCCTGAAATGTTGCACACATACACTTGATCTTCATATCATATAATATATCTCCTCATTCTAAACAATTTTGCCTCTAGGACGGCTGCTGATTTGAAAGTCCTGGTCTTACACCATGCACAACCGTTCTGACCATCTCTCTACACAATCATTAAAGGGGTCCTATTATGCTTTTTCACTTTTTCAACTTTAGTTAGTCTGTAATGTTGCT